AATGACACTCAGCCATACCCTTCCTGTTCAAGACGCAAGCCCCTCCTGCACACCCACAGGCCAGCCTGACACAGTTCGACTCGACTCGCCTCCTAGCTTCCTCCCTCCCACCATCAGGGCCTCATGCAGGAAGCCTTGTCCTGGCCTTGAAGCCCTACCTCCTTCCCTGGCTGGAGGCCCCTGAGGGTGAACCCGACTCCCACACCCAACTTACAGGCCCCCAGACACTGCTACATAAGAGTGTGGACACTGACAAGATTGGCTGGCGTCACACCCAAGCTCTACAACATTTCGGCCGTGTGGCCTGGGAATCGCATTGCCGTCTCTCTGAGCCTCTGTTTCCCCATCCTGCCGCACAGGGCGGTCATGGGATTCGGGGAGTTACTGGATGCAGAGCGCCCAGACGTGCGCCGGAGTGTGCCGGAAGCACTCAGCCCACCATGCTGGGGGAGGAGGGTGATCGTGGTGATCCGGAGGACTACCCCTCACCTCCTCTGTTGCCTCCCCATTCCCCAGAACATCACTGTAGCCTTCGCACTTACAACCCAGGGGCAGGATTTCCGTGCCTTTATCTTGTCCTGGGATGGCTAGTTTAATGTAATCAAACAGCTTCTGGAGGATTTCTGAGATGCCTTGCTGAGCTGAGAAAGTGCTTTTGTAAACAGTGTGTTAATACGGTAGCCATACCCCACCCCCCTTGCTGGTGGACCTGTGCTGCAAGCCTTAAACCTTAGCTTCTCGGATCCTACGTCCGTGGTGCAGGTGTTTTTATTACCTCATTTATTGGAGTGAGAAAACAAGACCCAGAAGCGTACATTACGGCTCAGGGCGTGCGGGAGGGAATGGGCTGTGCCATGGTGTCTGCCTGGCTCCCTATGACCTGGGGAGGACCTGGGGCCACAGATCCCGTGGCTGAGCTGCCTCGATGCGCTGAGCCTCTGACTGGCAAAAGGGAGCACAAAATGGGGGATACCTGCCCAGGCTTGGGCGGGTGCTAAGTGACAAGGGCTTGTCACAGGCAGTCTGCCACTGGCCCCTTAGAAAGTATTTCCTCTGATAGCACACCAAGGCAGCAGGGTCATGGGTTTGAGGGGCCCCGCCGGTTGTGCAGAGCCCGCGGGCGTGGCTTCACAGGGGACTGCTGATGGTGCCCGCCGTGGGGTCCTCACTCGGGGCATGTGTGCAAGCTCCCCATCGGCCGTTGTAGCTACCTGTGCCAGGGTAAGGGCCATTTGTCCTTGGTGCCCAGGGCTCTGTCCCCAGCCCTCCTGACTCAGCTTCACTTTTTTTTTTTTTTAAATGGGGTGAAATTCACATAACATACAACATAGCCATTTTAAGGTAATAATTCAGTAACATTTTCTTCATTCGCCATGTTGTGCCTATCACCACCTCTGCCAAGTTCCGAGACATTTTCGTCACCTCAGAGGAAAACTCTGTACCTATGAAGCATTTCTGCCACCTTCCCTCTTCTTCCCAACCCCCACCACCACTAGTCTGCTTTTCATCTCCACAGACTTGCCTGTTGTGGACCTTTCGTGTTAACCTGTAAATATTAATGTGTAACCCATCGTGTTTGGCTTCTCACACTTTGCCTGACGTCTTCAGGGTTCACCCACGCCATACCATTGTATGGCTGAATAATGTTCCATTGTGTGGTAACACAGTTTGTTGATCCCACGTTTTGATGGGCACTTCGGTTGGTTTCCTTCCACCTTTGGCCGGTGCTCTGAACATTGGGTTACAACTACCTGTTTTCAGTCTTTTGGCTACATATACCCAGGAGTGGAAGTGCTGGTCACGTGGTAATTCTGTGTTAAAAGTTTTTGATCCAGCATCAACTTTATTTCTGACGGACCACTCACCCTTCTTCCTCTTTGGCTTCTGAGCCCTGTAGCCCCCAGGACTCCAGTATTTATTGAGCACCTCCTGTAACCTTCTCCTGACTCAGAGGTCACACAGTGCTATCCCTGCTCTAGAATGCAAGGGTAGCACCTCCTCCCAGTGGGGCAGACACTGTTCCCACCTCATCAGGGACCTCCCCATGCAGAGGATAGGGACCTCGTTGGTCCTGTTTGAGCAAACTGAGGCACAGTGAGGCCGAGTACTTCACCCTAGGACCACAGAGCTAGAAAGTCACTGTCAGGATTCAAATCCATGTTCCCTCGATCCCACACACTTCTCAAGGTTCCCCTTCCTCTGTGGCCCTTCTAGGGGCCGAGCTTGAGCCCGTGAAAATCTGTGTGGCTGTCCCAGGCTGGCTGGGACGAGAGCAGAGGACGATTGGGCAGTCCTCCCAGCTTGTTACAGGGACTAGAGGGGTCACGCACACTGTATACTTCGTTCCTGCCCAACTGGTGGGACGTGGGAAGTGGCCGTGTGAGTGCAACTCACCAGGGGTCTGTCCTGCCTCCTTGCCTGACGGTAATGCTAAGCTTGGGGCACCTGAAGCAGGGTCTCTGTGTCTGGTGTGGCATTGCACCTCCCCACCGTGGCCTGATTTGACTTGCATGTGTGTATATGTTGGCAGCTGGACAAGATTGAGGGCGTGTTTGAGCGGCCGAGTGACGAGGTCATCCGGGAGCTGTCCCGGGCCCTTCGGCAGGCGCTGGGTGTGTCGCTGTTTGGGATCGACATCATCATCAATAACCAGACGGGGCAGCACGCTGTTATCGACATCAACGCCTTCCCAGGTGAGTGGTGGGGCCACCTTTATCCGTCCGTACACTGGTGTCCTTGGGTAATGGGGCGGGTGGGCCCGGCTGATCAGCTTCCTCCCTCCCTGCTGGTAGGGCCTGGGATAAATGTGGTCCCGCTAAGCCTCAGCCCCACCTGCAAAATGGGTTTATGGTATGTGGTGAAGTTGGCAAACAAGGTCGGTGCATCCAGCCAGGGTGAACCTGGGCGCTTAGTGGGCCCGCACTAAACCCATTCTTTTACCTTCCTCACTGACCCTGCGCCATCAGTGTTAGCCTTTGTTGGCGGAACCTCAGCTACTCTGTTGAGCTTGTAGATTTCGAGATCTGAAAGGACCCCAGAGAGAGTACGTCCTCCACAGTTTATGTGCAGGGAGTCGACTTTCCCAGGGAGGGAGAAATTACCGCACGTTACAGTACTGGTTGGTGGCGGGCCGTGCTCCTGCCCCCACCCTGAACTGTAGTGCTGGGGACGGGCCTTGGAGCCGGCCAGCTCCCCGTGGCAATGGCGCCTGCTCCCTACCGTCTGCCAGAGCCCTGAGGCAGGCAGCATGTGCTGGGGCCCTCAGGGCTGGCTGGCACAGCCTGGCTCCCCCATGCTCCTCTCTTCTTGGTGGGACATAGCACCCGGAGAACCTTCAGTGGGGCTGTTAGCCTACAAGGATGATGGCCGTGACGTCCCCAGCTGACTTTCCCCGGAACGAGCCCACTCTGCCTGGGGGCACCCTGAGGCTGACTTGTCCACCCTCCCAGCTGGCTTTGATTCTCACCTTTATTAAGTAACAGTGGTGGAGGTAAAGTCACTCACTGCTCAGTGGGTATAAAAACATTCAGGAAACGATTCGTACCTTAGGGAGGTTAGCATCTCCAGGGAGAGCCCATGCGTGGCATGCAGGGACTGCTCAGGGGTGTCTGCAAGGTGTGAGACAAGACCTCATGTGCGGGGTGCAGAGCATGACTTCAGGCTGTGCGGCTCCTGGGCGTCAGGCTGGGGGCCTGACATGTGTCCCTTTGCACTCCTCAGTCCCCACCACCATTACAAGTCATAGCCAGGGAAACCGAGGCTGGGAGGACACCACTGGCTCCTTAAGTCATTCAGTTGACTTTTATCGAGGGCCTACTGTGTGTCCCAGCTGGTCATCTAGTAACACATGCAGGTACAGCGTGACCATGATGGCCAGAGCCCTTCCTTCAGAGGACAGGAGGTGCCCAGGGGCTCCTTCTTGAGGTGGTGGCATTGGAGCAGAGCCCAGCAAGGAGGGAAGGAGCTACCCCCCAAGGGCTCTGGAAGGGACTGTGACAAGGTGGGCCAGAGGTGAGCCCGCCATATGCCATGGTGAGAATGCGGGCTTTTGCTCTGAGCTGGACCAGAGCGGCTGACTGAGGCCAGCATTCCTTTATAGAAACTCAGGCCTGTTGGGACAATGGCCTGTGTTCCTCCCGTCACCCTGGGCGCAGCCTGAATGGAGACTTGGGTGTTGCCGGAGGTGGGGTTTTCACGAGGAAGTGACGGAATGAGTGAGAGAGATCAAGGGAATACAGGGCGTGTCAAGGGAACAATTACAATGAATCAGAGGATCTAAACCCGGGAGGACATGGGGGGGGGCTGGCAAAGAGGTAGCCGAGTCAGCGGGTTGGTGGGACGAGGAGGGAGCAGTGCCGGGCTGTTGGGGCAGAAGTTCCAGAAGGATGGAGATGGGAGGTGGTGAGAGCATGAAGCTCTGCCCTTGAGCTTCGGCTTTGTGCAAGGTCCTGAGTCGGCCCCCTCTCGACATGGGCAGTTTGGACTGGGTGTCACGAGGGCGTCCTCTATGCTCAGGAGGGACCGTGATTGTGGGCCCAGATGGCCGGGAGGCTTCCGTCCGAGAGAAGGGCCACCCAGATGGGGCCAGGCATGGAGGTGGGGGCTGAGGCAGCCGGAACGATGGGCCGAGTCCAGCACACGCTGCCTGAGGGAGCCTGACACTGGGGGAAAGCCAGGGGAGCCCAGGGCAGGCCGTGTCCGGGAGACAGCTGCTCCCCGGCCTCTCCCGGCTTGTTTTGCAAGCCTGGGTCTGGAGCACTCGTGGGCCCGACCCGAAGAGTATGTTCCTGGGGAGGCTGCCTTGGGGCCCTGGGTGTTCAGTAGCCCCCTGTCAAAGGGGCCGCGTGCTGGGCTCTGGGAACTAGTAGCAGCAGTAGCCGCGGGTGCTGTTTACACGCTTACACAGCAGGCCTGCTCGGAGAGCCTTACTCCCATTTTGTCCATGCAATAGCACGGCGTGCAGTGAGCTGCCAAGATCTCCCTTTACCCCGTGGAGACATGGAGGTAGGGACTGGGTGTCTTGTCCGAGCCACGTGGCTACCAAGTGCTGGAGCTGAGACTGGAGCCCTCCCCTCCTGACCTGTCAGCTGAAGCCTTGGGTTCCGATCTTGGCCCTGCCCTTCCAGGCTGCGATGGGACAGGTCATCCGGGGGCGGGGGTTGTTCTCAGCGTTCCCTTCTGCGCAGCGGGAGCAGTGATTCCCCCCACACGGAGACAGAGGAGATGATGTCGGCACGGTGCCCGGCCCTGAGCTGGCGCCCCGCGGTGCTGGCTCAGCTCAGTCTGTTCTCCCCAGGCATCGGGAGCTGGCTGCCTGGCTGCCGGCCAGTTCGGGCTGACCCGCGGGGCCTCCCCGGCCTCCAGTTCAGCTTCAGGCCTCCACACCACCCCAGGAAGCCTCAGGAAGCACGTATGTCCTGCCCTGGGCCTTGTCTGGGGGCCTCAGAACAGGACTGCGTCTGTTCCCCGGTGTGGGCCTGACTCGGTTCTCAGCTCTGCTCCCTCTGCTCGTATCCCTACCCTGGAAGCCCGGCAGCCCGCCTGCTGGTTGTCCCTTCGGGGCCTGGCCTGGCCTGGCCTGGCCTGCCTTTCGGCCCTGTGGCCGGAAGAAGCCCCCCCCTGTCCTCGGTGGACCGCCCAGGACCACATGATATTCAAGGCACAGATGGCACCAAAGGGCCTGGTTGAGGTCCTGGCACTGCCACTTGGGAGCTTTGTATCCTCTGTAAAATGAGGGTGGCCCTGGGCCCCACTCCCCAGGGACTGCGAGGGACATGCAGCATGCGGCCTGGGGGCCAGCACTTCCTGAGCCTGGGTGAACACCAGCCGTGGGCCCCATCACTGTCTCCACCCGCACCGTGAACAGCCATGTGTCTGTCCGCCTGTGGAAGGGCTCAGTCACTTAACTCTCCGCGCCTCTGTCTCCTCATCTGTAAAACGGGAACACGTTGTGAGGAGGGAGTAAGGGCACATGAACGCACCGTGCATGCCAGCCATTGTACGTGTTTTTAGTTTTGCCGTGGGCATCTCTGCTTCCCCTTCTTGGCCTCGGGCCTGCGATCGTCGACGAATGCCTCCGCCGCCCGGCCCCGGATGGGCTCTTTTGTGACAGGTAGTGCGCCTGCCCTCCTCGCCCAGCCTGTGCCCACGCGGCGAGGCCCATCCTGGAGGATGTGCGAGGGTCCCGGTGACCTCTGAGTGGTGGAGGAGGTCGTCCTGGTGGAGGGAGAAGCCGTATAGGGTGTGAGCAGTGCCTGGAGCCCCTCGCAGAGTGGGCACCTGTTTCTGTCCTGTTCCTGGAGCTGTGTGCCCAGTTCTCATGCCTCCACACTGGATCGGGGAGGTGGGGGTGGGGGGCACCTACTCATGTTGCATTTCTTTCGATGCAGTTCTTGGGGCAGTTAGCAAAATCCTTGCCCTAGATGGGAAACCTGCTTGGTGGGTGGCGCCCAAGGATTTGTTTGCCGACATTTGCCTTCGTGTCTGTGTTGGGAAACGTGGGCCGTGGGCAGGCCCTGGCAGTTTCTGTTCGGGAACCCCAGGCCCTGCTTTGTTAGAGGCACAGGTGTAGGTGGGCAGTGGCCCTGCTGGGGGCACCCGGTCTCCACCCCTTGGCTTTGATGCTCAGAGCACATGGCACAGAGGACCGCCCTGCAGGTATTTTGGGGGTGAGAAGGCAAGAGACTCTGTCCCAGGGGTAGCCGCTCTGGATCAGGGGTCTCCCCGGGCATGCCCGCAACGGCCTCCTCCCCCCGCCCCCGAGACCTCTCAGTTGACACAGGAGGAAGCTGAGGCTGGGCCATGTGGAGTGGATGGCTGTTTATGATTTAGGATGGGAGGAGTGGGCCTTCGGTATTGCCATGTCCCTCCATGCCACGTCCCGCCACAGGCATCTTGGCACATTTGGGGCGGTGATTAAACGAGACCCTGAAACTGTACCCGAGAGGGACAGGGTATGGGGCGTTTGCCTGTCTACTGGAGCGCCAAGCGTCTCACACCCTGGGGACAGCCGAATTCAAGGGCTAGCCTGCCCACACCCAGCTTTGAGTCTAGGCTTGATGGCTTCCATCTGTCCCGTTACTTAACTGAGCCTCGGTTTTCTCTACGTCTTGAGAGCGCCCACCTTGAGTCCAGGAGCCCCACAGTCCACCTGTGCCCCGCTCTCCCTGCTGCCCGTCTCCACCCCAGCCTGGCTCAACGTCCTGTGCTGTCTCTTTCCTGCCTACAGGCTATGAGGGCGTCAGCGAGTTCTTCACAGACCTCCTGAACCACGTGGCCACCGTCCTGCAGGGCCAGAGTGCAGCCGCGGCAGCCGCGGGGGACGTGGCCCCACTGAGGCACAGCAGGCTCCTGGCAGAGCAGGCGGGCAGCCTGGCGGGCGAGCGGACGTGCAGCGCCAGCCCGGGCTGCTGCAGCAGCATGATGGGCCAGGACCCACCCTGGGCGTCGGAGGCCGATGCGGGCGGCGTGGGCACGGGCAGCACCGCCAAGCTGCCCCACCAGAGACTCGGTTGCACCGCGGCGGTATCTCCCAGCTTCCAGCAGCACTGCGTGGCCTCACTGGCCACTAAGGCCTCCTCCCAGTAGCCACGGAGCCCAGGACCCGGAGGGCGGCACGGGCCGCAGAGTGCACCTGCTGGGCAAGCAGCTCCCAGCAGTGACGCTCCTACTAAGAATTCCCAGTGATCTGATTCTTTTTTTTGTTTTTTAATTTTTAACCTGATTTTCTGATGTCATGATCTAAACGAGGGGTGGTGGGGGGGGGAGATGGAAGAGAACCCCAAGTGGCCCAGCCTCGGGGAAGATGCCTGATACCTGCTGTGCAGATGTCTTCACTGGGTTTACACTTGCTGTGTCTTCAACACTAGGTCTGAATGTGAGGTGGGGTGTGCGTGTGCACGTGTGGCTGCTGTGCGTGTGCACATCCACGTCTGTTCGTCTCGATGGCTGCTGTGGACCAGGCCTTGGGGACCCTGGAGGGGGGCCGTCCCGGGTCAGGCTTTTGGCCACTGAACAGAGTGAGTGAGAGGTTCCTCATCTCGCTTTCCTCCAAGCCCCTCGCACCCAGGCCTGGCCCCCTCACTGTTCCCCTCCTGCTGGCGGCCTCCACAGCTTTGTGAGGAATGGGGCCTAAAGCCCCAAGCAGGTGTACAGGTGTCCCTCTGAAGAGCCAGAGGAAGCCAGAGGCACACCTACTGTTTCCTTGTGGGGGCTTCGTGCAGGGGGTCTGGGCTGTGGTCCGCCTGTTGCCCACTCACAGAAAGGAAGAAGGAAGCTTCCTGGGGGCGGCTAAGGTCCTGAGTTGGCCTCTACTCTCCACATCCAGCTCCCTGGAGTTCGCCAGGCCCTTCAACTTGTGTCCCATGCAGCCCTGCAAGGGGGCCTCCCACCCTGGCCAAGCGCCGCTCCCCAGGACCCCGGAGGAGGCTGCCTGGTCGGGAGCCCTCGGGCTGATCTTGCCTGTGCCAAGGATTTGTGCCGTGACTGTGGACAGATCATCCCAGGAGTTGCTGGGCCTCCGTGTCCTTGTCTCTGATGAGCCGTTGAGACCAGAGACCTCTGAAGGGCAGGCTTGGTGCCCTACACCCTGCGGTGCAGTCTGCCTCTCTGAGAAGTCAGCCCGATGAGCCTCCCCTCGGCCTTGAGGTGATTTGGGGCCTCTTCCCCCGGCCAGGTGGGTGGGGGGGGGGGTGCTGCCTGTACGCTTCACATCTTTTCGCACCGCCCAGCAGGCCCGCCCCACCCTTCCTGCACTCACTGCAAGCCCCAAGCACAGAGCCAGCCAAGTGTGAGGGGAGCTGCAGCCCCAGAGGTGAGGAAGCAGTTACCCCTCCTCCGTGAGAGTCCCCCCAGCCCCTGATGGCAGCTTACACCACCGGCTGACCACTCCGCTCCCGCGGTGCAGGCGGGCAGACCGCCCCGCCCCTGTGCAAAGAAGGGGGCCGGTGAGGGGCTTTGCCAGTCCTGGGACAACGTGAACCTGGGCAAAATGCATAGGACCCCCTGAGCATGATCTTGTGTCCTGAGACATCCATTCACGTTGAGAAAGTGGGAAAGGCGTCCAGGCTGTTGTGCACGGTCCGATGAGGATGGCCCGAGAGAGGCTGCTGAACTGGGCATTCAGAGGTACCTTCGGGCCTGGCTCAGCAGGGGCGTGGGGGTCACCCACCTTTGGGAAAGGAAGGACTGGGTGGGGGCTGCCCTCAAGCTGCACTGGGCCTAGGGCGAGGACAGGTGCTGTTGGGACTGCCCGGCTGCCCTGGAAAGGAGGGCCCACCGACTAACTGCGTTTACACAACTTGAGTGTTGAACCCCGATTATAATGTCTGTACAGCGCCTTTCCTAGTCCATCCCTGAGCCCCGGGGAAGCAGGAAAGCGTGGCTGGCCTCTTGCACTGCTTTGTCTCCAAAATAAACTACTGAAATCGAACTGCATTTCACATGTGTTTACAAATGCTGTTGAAAGTTCATGCCATTCTCCTGGTCTCTTAATAAAACAGCTTTACCTTCTTAAATGAAATTCCAATCCCGATCTGTCTCAGGAACAGGTGGGGGGGGGGTGCAGTGTGACCCCCGATGCCGGGCTGGGGCCTCTGGCCATATCGTGTTCCTGGGTAACTTACGTCATCCCCCAGGGTCACACGTGCTCAGGTCCAGAGCCCAGATATCAAGTAACTGTTCCCCACTGGCCTCGATGCGGGTGGCAGGCAAGGTGACCGCTTTTTCTGGAAGCAGAAGCCGAGGGGTGGAGTCTCACTTCGTAAGGACCTGGAAGCATCAGGTGGTGGGAGAGGGAAAGGCCCTGCCTGGCAGCAGGCATCTTCCTTGCATCGCCCCTGTTCAGCGAACACTGGCCACCCCTGATGTAGGGGTTTCAGGAGCACAGACAAGGAGAGGGGCCATCACCCCCCCATCAGTGGTGATGAGGCACCAACCAGCGACCTCCACTCCTAGGGTCACTTGGGTGCACACTGACTTTTTTGGGTGCCAGGACACACTCTCCGTAGAGTTGATTTCCCCTCAGGCCTTGTGGTTTCCACATCAGGGAAAGACAGATCCACTAAAATGCCGCGTCTTCCTTGGCCCTTTAGCAGTATCTCCCCCCAAAGGCTTGGTGGTACTCCCTCTGGGTCAGAGGCTCTGGAACCTTGCAGGGCTCCTGGGAAGGGTCTGCTGTGGTGTGTGCATGTGTAACCCCTGGAGTTGGCCCTGCCAGGATCATGGGGGCAGTTAGGACTCTGATTCCCAAGCCTCTGTTTGCCAGTTGGTGGGCACGTTGGGGTCTGTGGCCCTCAGCACCTGTCTTGGTGGTGTTCAGTGGCCGGGGCTCCCGGAGGCACTCCTGATTTCAAGGGCTCCAGGAGCAAGTACCAGGGCCATATTTTGGCTAGGGCCATGGGTAAGTACAGAGGGTCAGTTGCAAAGTCTCTGCCCTGGACAGCCTGTAACAGAGACCTTGGGCCAGGTTCTGCTTGCGGATGCTTTGTCCAACGATGTGATTCCACAGACATTAGGCCCCACTTGAGTGCAGGCCCTTGATGTCTGTCGTCTTCAAGAGGGCCCAGCAGAGTCTCCTGGTGTAGCATCCTTGCCATTGGCATTCATGGAAGCGTCTAGGTTTGCAGCCCACAGTGGCTCGGGCTGGGCCTGAAGACACCTGGCACGGCCTGGACGCCTCGAACACCCAGGGAGTTGTATGGTGTATCCTTCAAGTGGGCCTTCATTAATGATGGAGAGAACAACTTGGAAAAAAGAGTTTCTCTCTAACCCAGAGGACTGTCGGGTGGGCCTCGCCCGGTGGAAGGGCCATGGCAAGAAACTAGCTTTCCAGCCAGCTGCGATAAGCAGCTGTTGTCACATGGCCACTCCAAGACCAAGGGAGACTACACGTTCTTGTCCTAGTCTGGGAGATCGGTCCTCTGCTCGGGCACTCACACTGGCCACTGGCCACACAGCCGGTGAATGGCTTGACTGCTGTCCCTGGCATCTGCATCTTCCTCTCTGTGCCCTAGAAAATTATTCGCCCGGCAGGCGCCCCGACAGCCCCTCGCCCTCCACGGGCCCTTGCCCCAGGCTAGCGATCTTGAGCTGGGTGCTGGCTGTCCTGAAGGCGCATAGCCAGCCCCTCCACCGAGGCTTACCGCGAGGCAGAGAAGTTTCCAGGCTTCTCCCTCTTCTATCTGCCTGGCCCCGCCCTGATGCCCCACACATCTGTCTGCCCTGCCCACGCCTGAGCCTGAGCCTGAGCCTGAAGTGATGTGGCTGAGGCTTCAGGCCAACCACCCTCCCATTGTTTCTGCCTTTCACGAGGAAGGGCCTGTGCTTTGCCCATTCTCTCTGCACAGCGTTGCCAATGTGATCTTGGAGTGACACTGCCCACCCCCGACACTGTTCAGAGGAGAGCTGTTCCTTGGTCCCACCTGGGCGCTCTCCCTTCTGGTTCTGACCACCCGGGGGCCTTTTCCACGAATGGTTGCATTTTCCCTTCCCGATTTACCCTGACCCGACAGCTTAGAGGGGCTGTTCCTTTCCCGTAGCCTGCCTGACGTCTTCCTCCAGGGCTGCATGTGGGAGCACACCTCTTTGACACCTGTTGCCTCACAAAAAGCTGTTCCCATAGTGATTTCACCGAGACGTTGGTGGTTCTAGTTCTAGTGACACCTGTGCTTTGCGACAAATGCTCAGGCCTCCGTCCTGTTCACAGGCAACAGGCAACACTTCCCAGAATCCCAGGCTGCCTTGTACTCGATCTGTGCACGTCTGTCCGTACGGTGTTTCTACGAATACACATACCGTATATAAAATCACCGCTTTTGTAAAAGCCAGGAGACTTTGTCCCTGGGCTCTTTGGATTTGTCTTTACAGTTGTTCTGCGTCGTTATGAGAACACAGGTGGCCATCTTTGGGATGGGTTTTTTTTTTTTCAGGGACAAGGTGATCCCGTGTTCCCTTTGTTAACTTGTCTCGGGAGTGGATGTTTTGATAGCTGACCGCCTAGTGGGATACAGTTTGCTGTTGTGTTTGTTCTTTCTGTAATGGTTGGGGGGTAGAGTGCACCCTTGAAAACGTGTGAAGAAATAAACAATGACTCAGCTCTTTGGAAGTTGTCCCTCTGTGTATCAGGGGCTGGTTAGCAGCAACAGTGGGCAGCTCCCTCCCCAGCCTCATGGGAAAAGCCTAGCCTTGGCAAGACTGTTCATGTGACTTGTATCATCATCATGGTTTTCTGGTCCAGGCTGCCTGGGCCCTTTGAACCCTCATCACAATCAGATGAGGAAGTAGTATCATCCCCATTTTGCAGATGAAGAAACTGATGTTGAGAGGTGCAAAGTCACTTGCCTGTAGCCCCATGGCTAAAAAGTAGCTCCAGGGAGCAACTTGAGCTCCCCTTGTCCCTTTGCCCAAATCTAGTCCCTCCCATCCAGCTCTGAGTCAAGAGGGGGAGAAGTTCAAAGAAACCGGAAAGAGCCCAGAGCAGTTTTATTTCTCCTTAGATAAATTTTGTACAGAATATATTACAGTCAGGAGTTCTCAGCTTTCACCAAAAGGTCAGAAGTTATTGCAATTGTGCCCAATGGCTCTGACGATGGAAAGGAAACTTCTAGAAAGCTGCCTGTGTCCAGAGAGAAGATAACCGTTTAAAGTCATGGGGGGTGTGCCCTGCAGAGGGGCGCACTGGGGCTGGAATCGAGAGCAGAAGGGAAGGAGCGAGGGGGCAACAGGGCGGCCTGGGCTTGGGCGGGCTGGAGTGGCCCCTCTACCAGAAGCAGTGCCCAGGCTGTCTGGCCAGGACCTGCAAAGGGGACAGGAGAGCCAGGACTGCTGGGTGCCTCGGGGCCCTGGCTGGGGGGGCCGGCTGGCGTGTCAGCCCTGGCGCAGTGCCTGCAGCTGGTGGGCCACCTTCTCCAGCTCTGCCTCGATGGCCAACAGGCTTTCCAGCTCCTGGTCCTAGGAGAGAACATCAAGGGTCATTCACATGGAGGGTGCAGTCTGCCAGACTGGTTGTGCCACTGGCTAGCTGTGTGGCCTCAGGTGGCTTTGCCTCTCCCAGCTTTAGGGCTTTCATCCAGATCATGGGGACAGAGATGCCACCCTGCTGGGCCGCTCTGAGGATTACTGTGCACAAGAAATGGGCATAGGGGCCTTGACCCCACACCACCCCGGTAGCCTCATCCAGACCTGCCTTCCCCTGAATGGCTCTGGCCAGGCACGTGGAAAATGAAGCCTTCGGTGCTCTTCAGTGTTCCTTAGCTCCTCACCCCAAGGCCTAGACTGTGACAATGGCCCTGACCGTGAGTCCAGGCTTCCCTGCTTGAGGAGCCATGGGCCTTTGGCACAGGCTTGAGGACATGAGGGTTTCCCTGCTTCTACCTGCCTAGGGTTGGGCCTGGATCCTCGGTCCCAATCATAGGGGGACCCAGCTCTGACTGCCAGGGTGGTTCAGGGCAGCAGGGGACCCTTCTGTGACCTCTGCTCTGTGCCCCAGCCTCAGGAAGCTTTCAGGGTCCCCCGAACTGGGGCTGATGCCCACAAGTCCAGATGCTCTTGGACTTGGAGCAGGAGTCGGGGAACGCCACGCCCTCACCCTCGGTCTTGACATGGGAAGGGTAGTCTTGCTGGGGTCCCTGCCAGATGCCAGGCTGTGGAGGGCACCCATTGGGGCCACTTGGAACAGACAGACAGTGGTTGTCATGGAAATAGGGACCTTAAAGCCTTCTGTCTTGGAGTGAAATTCTGTGATGCCGGAACATTTCTAAGAAGACCCTGGAGCTGGGTGGAAGAGGCCTCTGCCCTGTTCTGTCCACAGGACTCTGTGGTCCCCATTTCTGTGCTCTGCAGTCCAGGGCTTTCTCTGCCCGTGGAGAAGGGAGCTGGCAGGCATCTCAGGGTAACTTGCTTGCTTTTTCCAGCTTCTGTGGGTTGGGGAGGGGCAAGCAAAGGTGCCCAGGCTTGTCCTGGTCCAAAGCTAGGGATGGAGGGCAGTCTCCTGGGTACATAGAGAGATGACCTCTCCTAGCTCCTGCTGCCAAGGAATCTTCTCCCTCGAAGGCTGCCAAGACTGGTCCCAGCCCAGAGAAAGGTTGGGACCCAAGGAAGGGGCCACATCCTTTTCTGGGTGGGCAGAGAGAACTGGGGTCATGGGTAGATTCCAGTCCCCAGCAGGGCCCTGACTTCGACCTGGACACTGAGGCCTGAACCACGGACCCCTAAGGCCTCCTCTAGCTCTAAGATGGTACTGCCAGCCTGGCAGGGACCCCAACTCCCACTCCTCACCTCTGGGGCTACATCCCAGCATCCCATTGAGCTAACCAGGTATCCCTGAACATGGCCAGGTTTTGAAAGCTCATGTGTGTTCTGACCATAATAATGAGGTGAGCAGAAAGGACTCCTTACCGCCATTTGAGAAATGGGGGAACCAGTGAGGCTCAGAGAAGGGGAGTAACCTGCCCAAGGTCACACAGCTAGGAAGAGGCAGAACCCAGGTCTCCTGGCACATCCATGCCTCCCTCACCCACTCACCACCAGGCCCCGTGGTCCCACCGGCCTTGCCCTTGCCCCACCGGAGGGAGGCAGGGTCTGAACCTCGGAGGAGGGTGTGCCTGGGCTGCCTGGGGGCCAGGAGAGGACATTGCTGGACCAACCACAGGGATTTCCCAGGAAATCGCAGGGCACCTTCCGTGCCCTCCCAGCTCTTGGGGCCATGGTGCCCTCCTCGGGCCAGTCCCTGCCAGGTCCTTTCCTTTCCAAGTTCCCTCCGTCCAAAGCTCCAGCTTCACCCCTCACTCCTGCTTCACACCCAAACCTGCAGGGGCCCCCTATCACCTCCGGGACAGAGACCCACGAAGTGCCTTCAGGCATTGGCTGAACCACCTCTCCTACCTCCACGACCCG